CCAGTATACATTGCATTCGAGCCAATTTGAAAAACAAACGAAACCCTGAATGCCTCCAAAAGCTTGAAATGTGGATGTATTAACAATTGTAATCATTCCATTGCATATTATATATAAATAAGATTTAGTGCGACAGTGTACTGTAAATCCATAGAAGTTATTATTATATCATAACTATTATGTAATAAATATTGTTGTTAACATAAAATTCATAATAGTTGTTTATTTTTTTCTCCAGAATTTTAAAACGAAGAATGTTCAAAAAAAAAAAGATGTGTAAAAAATTTGTTCAATGTAATTTCCCTGATTTCATATTAATTCTTTAATAGATGTTTGATTTCACAAATGTGGTTAAACTCATTATTTTAAAATTCTTCTTATACATTTTTTTTAACAATTTCAAATAGAAATAATTAAAAATATTTAGAAAATTGATAAATTAGCAATCTCTTTTTTCTCTTATTTTCTAAACAATATTACAATATTATATATTAATTGCAAGCATGATTTGTATAAAATATATAAAAAATAATTATTTACATATATAATCTTATTTAGCTAAATGTTATTTTTGATTAATCAATTAAAATAAAATTAAAGTTGAAATAATTTCTTTAATAATTTCTTTTTCTTTTCTTGATTCTATTTCATCAACATTATCAACAGATTTTGTTACAAAATTAATTTAAATAATAGATAATTTAAAAATAATTTATTTGATTTTAAAATAGAATTATATTTTCTGTATTGTCGAAATCCAGTGAATTTACATTTATTTCATTTAAGAAAACAACGAGCCATGGCAGTAAAAAAAGCCAGATTTAAAATTAACAAGAATGTGGAACAATCATGGTCACGAAACAAATGGATGATTACATAGAATTGTTAGAATTGGAAAGAGTGAAAGTTCTTGAAAGACTATAATAACATGGAATACGAACAAATGCATGAATCAGCGAGCTATCAATGCGGTTATTCACGGTAGGTTGCCTAGCAAAATAGTTTATTACGTAAATATTAATTAAAAAATATATAAAGAAACAACAGATTCAAACGTAACACGCCGTACAATCCATACAAAAATAACAAATACTTGTACTGCAATTATTCTATAATTATATTAATTAGTTGCTTCAATAAGCTCAATACTGGTGGGAGGACGATCGTTTCCGATTTGTCGTTCGTTGGTTTTTTACGGGAAGGCCGCGGGCGTATGGTTTGTGTGCGTTTGTTGAGAGATAGTAGATGCCTCGTGCTCTGCAACATTCCACATTAAAAATAAGAATAGAACAATAGGTAAATATAAAAATTTTTTTTTTGAATTGTAAGAAAAAAAAATTTTGCTTACGTATGTGGAGCGTCTTCTCCCATCAGTATGTATTCCTCGAATTTCGGGTTGCACCAGCCGATCAGGTAGGAAAAAAGATTTCCGCACGGGGCTGCCCAGAATCCTACTTTCGTCGTGATTGATTCTATGTAATAAGGCGTCACTTTTGTGTGATCGCACGACAGCGTCTCTGCGGACGAAACATTTCACTGATTTCATTTACAGTCGACCATCCGTCCTATAGAGCGTTTTCTCCACTGATAAAATAATTCTTATATATCTTTCCGCAATCATAGGTCTTTCTTGATTCAACAAAAGAAATGTTGATCTGATTTTTTTGATGATGATAAATTTTAAACATTCAGAAAATTATGGACTAAAGGAATATCGAGTCTTAATTTTATTATATTTATTTATTTATATAAAATTTATATAAATATATATTTATATATTTATTTATAAAAAGTTTTAGAATGAATATTATTCATTAATTATTTATCAAGAAGATTGAAAAAAAAAAAAAATGTTTTGATTTTATTCATCTATTCAACACGATCCTTTTCTCTTTAATTACTTTCTTCATGGAAACTCATAAATGGATTTATAAATATTTAGAAATCAGCCAACTAGTAAATAACACGATAACTACTACTTTTAATTCAATATTTGCGTGTTTTTTCAACATTTATGATATCATTTTATGTACAAGAAAAATAAAAAAAAGATTTTACTTACGGAGTAAGGAATATGTCGCGCATCCGGGTTGGCTGGAGCCTCCGTTCACATAAAAATCTGCATGACCGGTTGGTCCCCATTGACCCAAAATTCCAGCACCAGTGTGAATTACATCGACGAAATGCGCGTCCGTCTCGTCCAAATCCATCGATCGATTTCCATTCATGTAGAAAAATATCGTGGGATCGAGTCCTAATAGAACGTTACATAAAAATTCATTTGAGTTAAAAAAAATTTAATTTTATAATAAATAAATCAACATTATTACTTTCGACAAATCGTTGAAATAATTGATCAGTTTAAAAAGAAGTTTGTAAAATAAAAATTATTGACATGATAATAAATACATGTTGGAATTTCGAAAATATCATATTTAACAAGGAAAATTCATATTTTCGAAATTTATTATATTATAACATTTTTGATAATAAGTTTAACAATGAATCAAATGAAAGATTGTTCCTTGATACTATATAAAAAAAAATTCATTCAAAGTCAAATTTTTGAAAAACGATAGCAATGATTCTGCGTTTATTATTGAAATATTATTTATCTTGCCTCATTTCAAAAACTTGAACTTCGGAACAATTCGGAAAAATTCGGACGGAATCGGATCGAGATCTTAACATTCTCCAATTACGTAATTTTCAAGATCTCGATACTGTTTCGAGTTCGTAAATTCCACATTTCCAGTATATATCATCAGTATTTTAAACAATTTGATTTATTCGATTGGTCAAAAATTGTCTAACATGTTCTTTTTCTACATTCCACGTGTAAAGAAATGTCTCGTTTCAGCCAGAGTTATTTCAAAAACTATATATAGTGAGAATAATTCTGTATTTATCGAATCATTATTATTATATTTATACATTACTAAATTTCGACATTCTCGTTATTGTGCAATTATCTTATAGGTTTTTAAAAAATTAAAAAGCACATACTACTACCTGTAATTCTTCCAAGCTTATCATCGGGCAAATAATTCGCTATCAGTCCAGCTATATGTGCGCCCACGCTGTATCCAAGTACATGTATGTTCTCCACCCTTGTTCCTCGAGGATGATCCCTCAAGTACCTTACCAATTGAGCAATACATCGTGAACAGAAATCTGGGCCCCATTGTATTTGCGACAAACAGGGCTCGCGTACTAACGTACCATAATCGACGATTATAATATTGTAATTGCCTCGCGTGAAATATGCTGAAATCGAAAGTTTCATACATCCAGATATTCAAGTCCTTAACCTCCGTTAAAAAAAAACTCCAATGAAACGCGATCTAACATGATTACCCTTCTTTAATATGAAAAAAATTTTTTTTTATTATTTTTAAACATTAATTTTTTCGATAACAAATAATTTCGTTAATTTTAATGATTTACGGTATATAAACAATGAATATATTATTTATATTATTATTTACATCATATTTTATAAAATCATGCATTATAAAAAAATAAATACAGTGAATAAAAATTATCACTTTTCTTATGCTAAATAAAATTTAATAATATTTCCAATAGAATTAAAATGCGATGTAAACTTTCACACGACAAAACTTTCATTGAAATTCGTCGCTCTTTACTGTGAAAATACATTTCAATGGATTAATAAAAAACATTTTTTTATAAAATTAATTTAAATATTAAAGTATTGAAATATAATTAAATTTCTTTATGTATTCTATATAATTCTATATCTAAAATTTACAAAAATTAATTGATAATGTTAAAAAAAAATGAATTATATATTAAAAAAAAATTACCTTTTCGAAGATCCGGACTTGGTATTAAATTCCTTCCTCCTCCAAAACCGTGAATAATGATTTTCGTAGGATGCGACTTATTAAATTTGGAATAATAAAGTGAATCAAATTTACGAACGTCTATGCGTAAAGGTTTCTTCTGTGTTTCTCTGTAAAATAAATTGGATATAAATGTTATAATTGTTATAAGAAAATTATATTTTAATAACTTTTTAAATGACTTTTCTAAAGGAACAAAAAATTACATACTTAATTAATGGAAAAAAGGAAATTACATTATATTACATTATACAAATAGTTAGTAAATATTTTTAACAATATAAATATTAGAGTATATTATATACATTTGTTCTAAATTATAATGATAAGATTTACTGATTAATACTTCTTTATTATTAACAAATATCATTATAAAAAATTAATATTATATTGTATTCAGAAATAACAAAAAAATATAAAATAAAAACAAATAAAATGAATTTTTTAAAAAAACAAAAATAACATAATAACAACAGAACCATTTAATTGTCGCTTTCAAACAAGATAAAATAAAAGAGATAACAAGCGTGACAAAAGAAGAAAATGCGAGTGAGTAAAAGTAACTCCTAAGACGTGCCAAGGCGCCTATAACTCCTGGAGAAAGGTGAACCTTGAAACGAGGCCACTTTCAGTGCGAGACTGATCATGATCTTGAAATCGAGAGTCTTATGTCGAAGTCCTTCCTCATGTCCATATTAGTTTAGATTGAACCTTCTCGAACATTGAATGAAAGTGAGGTTAGGAACCGTAGACACATATAAAAGTAAATGAGAAATTTTACCAAAAGTTAGAAGATTTAATGTTGATGTGATTCTTTTTTTACTGAAGATTCATGCTAGAGTAGAATCGAATTTCAAAATGGTGAAATGAAAAATAAAATAAAATAAAATTGTTATCTTGCATTGTCTGCACAAAATTATATATATATATTAAATTGACATCAGTAAAAATGAATATTTCTCGTGTTTTCTTATTTATTTTTTATATTAATTTTCAAATTTAAATTAAACAAAACAACTTACCTGGTATACAAATAAAATTCAATCTGTGGATGTGGACATTCATAGGGTGGTTTTGCACACGAGGTACTGTTAAATAGATCCTTAAACGTTGTTTCCGCTCTTACATAATCTAAGAAAAAAAACGTACATTAGTGATCTTAATTTATCCTATTCTAATTTTCTATTCAAATGATTCGAATTTCATAAGAATTTGCATGCCTACTTAGATTAGGTTAATCAAGTTAAATCATTTAAAAATGAACTGCTTATAATTGAAAGTCATTATGCATTGTAAGAAATCGACAATAAATTGTAAGAAAATCATAAAAAACTTAGAAAATAGATGAAGGTTGTCTTATTATTCTGTTCTGATTAATTTTTTATCGCTTCTTAAAATATTCTTGCAACAATAACATAATCGTTATTAAAAAAAAATTCTAATGTTTTAAATATTTATTCTTTGAATATCATAGAATATAACATGACATATTCCCTTTTAATTTGTCATTGAATATTAATCTTTAATACCGAACTAAATTATACTGATGTGTAAATAAATATATGTATTTTTTTTATTATTTGCATTATAAATTATGAAGTACTGCAATCTTTTTACAACAATTAATAAACCTTGATATCGATATTAGCGATCTTTTTTTCTATTTTTATATTTTTTTTTCAAATTATGATTCTACAATATATTTGAATATAAATATGAAAAATATTTTTATTACATTTTTCTTTAATTTTTTATACATTTATATATATAATTTCTTATATATATAATATTTTTATCAATATTTTGTTGTCAGAACAATTTATTAATTTAATAAATTCTAAAAAATTTAAAAATTTATGAAATATTCCAATTTTTGTACTTTTGATTTTTTGAATTGGTTTTTTAAAATAAAAACACTAAATTTTATTAGAAGACACTTTATAAATCACACATAGATCGAAATAAATAAAAATTAAATAAATTAACCAATTTATTTTTAAATAAACAGCAAATATGAATTCGAAAAATGCATTTATGCGCATAAAAATTTCTCATAATTATGAAAAAGAAATTAATGGCTGCAATGATAAATTATTAAATTAATAAGAAAATTCTATCATTTTTATCATTTTTTATCAAAGAAAAGCAATTCGTTTTAATCAAATATTCGAAAATTTATTATAGAATATATTTAATAAATTTTTTATCAAACTTTCGGTAATTTATTTTAAATTACATTTATATATATTTCATCGTTTTAAATATATTCAATTAGCACTAATTATATTCCTTGTAAATTTGGAAAAAATTATATATTAATAATTTCTTTAAAATTTCAAAAAAATGTAATAAATTCGATCATTTTTCATTTTAATTTTAATTCTGTCTGATGTTTGAGAAAAATATATAAAAAAATCGTTGTTAAAATAAAATTAATATATAAAAATTCACGAATCAAATAAAACAAACTTGTCCTGACATCTTTCGACAAAGATATGATTTTAATTAATAATGATTTCAATTAATAAAAATTTAAAAATGATTTCAATTAATAATTTTTTGAAAAAAATTTCTAAATAAAACTACAAAATCAAGTCATCAGAATTTGTCATATTAATCAAATACTTACGATATAATAGCACAAGGAGGACGAACACGAGATATCTCACGACACTGACCGCCATCTCCCGCACTCCCGAGGTTTGTGATATAACATTCAGACACGCGGTGATGAAAAATTAGTAAAAGTGCTTCCCGCCGCTTCTCTCGACTGATTGCAACATGTAAAGTCACCGTAGTAATACAACTGTTCCCCCAGAGAGGAACTTTAGAAAGTCACGAGCGTGTTGAATAGCTTCTCTCCGATTTTACACGAGCGTGTGATCGTACACATGATGCACCGCGAAACATTTTTCGTTATTTCAAACTCGTAGAAGCAATATATCGATGAAGTATTTGCTACAGTAAAAGTTGGGTAACTGCACGAGGCAAGCAACCTGCAATGTAACTGGTCAGTAGTCATCCCCACTATTGGAAGAGAGTTCTCATTTCTTTTGCACACTATGAAACTTGATATATTTACTTTAACTTTTTTCTTCATTATTCTTCTCTATGTCCGGAAAAATGTAATGTTTGAATATATATATATTAATATATATAAATAGAGGTTGCATGTTTGAAATTTTCAAATTTCGAGAATTGTATGCGATTATTTGCGGTTTATTTATTCATGACTTTTATTATTTTGATTATCTGTTTGATTGAAAAATATGGCGGATTGAAAAGTTTCGTTCGATAGGAAGTTTTGTGAATTCGAAAATTCGAAAGTTTAATTGCAATTTATTATTAAGGAATAAACAAAATGAAATATATAATGAAAAAAAGTAAAAAAATAATAATTATAAAAAAAGTAAAAATATTGAAATTAACAAAAAAAATTAATATATTGATCTTAATTTTTTTTATTAAAATCTACATAAATACCATAACCTTGATTCGTGTTATATTATACTTGATCCTTGTTTTATTATATTTGTTCGTCTGAAAGAAAATTGAGTATTTGAAAAGATCGGCTTATAATTTATTATCAATAATCAGTATTTCTTATCCTTTTTTTTAATTACATAATACACTCAAAATTACAGTATACATACATATTTTACATAATTACTGTTATAATAATTATTAACAAACCAGACCTTATCGGCGTATGTAACAATGACTTTTTTTTTTTTTTTCTTTTGCTTTGTTTTCATTCTAACTTGCAGCTACGTGTATATAATAGAACAGGCCTGCTATTTTTTTTAAACAGTCAAAATAGATTTTCTTTAAATTTTCCACCATGGGATATTAAGATCATCGCTTCTTCTTCTCTGTTTAATTATGAAACCACTATAAGAGAGTGCGAATTAGTGATTATCTTTAAGAAATTTAACGTCAATGGACACAAAAAAGAGAGAAGAAGTTAATAGATAATGTTTCACGCTGAATATCGATCCTTTCGCGATTATTTTAATAGTAGGGCATGCCATGATCGCGAATCTTTAATGGCCTTCAACTCTTCAAAATGTGACAATGATACACGCGACAATTGATTTCTACATATCTTCCAACTTTAAGACGTTCAAACTGATATTATTAGGTGCCGACGTTGTAACGCATTATCAACAAAAAATGCATTTATGTAACGCATTAACAATTTAAACTTCGCGCCAAATCTCCATATAGATGATAAAATTTCAGAATTTTTACTACTATTAAAAAAATTCATTAAATATGACGAATAATAATATTCACAAATATTTTATATATTTTTTTTCTTTTTTTTTTTTTTTGACAGTTGTATGAATGAAAAAAAAATGAAAATTTAATTGATATATAAATATAATTACTTTTGAGCGTAAGTATTATTAAAAATATTACGAGAATTAAAAATTTTAAGAATAATAAAATATATATAATTTTAAAAATAATCATTTGTTTAGAAGATTTAAATCGAAGATCAACATGACAACTCTCGTTGATAATGCATTAATCGAAAATACACTGGAGCACGTGAAAAGTGATCGAGCGTGTGAATAGATCGTTAATTCTAAAATCTTGTGTACTTTGATGCACAGCACGGAAGAGCAGATTCTTTTCGACTCACGCGTAACTCTAGTTTTCGAATGCCCTTAACAAATATATTATTGTCGATTAAACCATAAGTCCGATCAACTTTAATATTGTCAGTTCGATATACTAGGATCGATCGAAATATATATAATAATATATATGTATATCATGTATATATACGTATACATATATAAGTATGTGTATGTACACACGCACGTCCATACACAGAGCATACATGCATCCATACCAGTACAGAATCGCGGGAAATACAAACAGCTGAACTGACATTTAGGTGAGTAATTGAATAATTATAAAAATGAAAATATAATCGGTATTTGATAATGATTATATCAAATGTTTTATCATTTTTAAAGAACAAAATATTTATATTTTGCTAGTTAAAAAATTAGGAAAAAATATTTTATTACAATAGATTAAAATATTGAAATTAATAATTTTTTAAAATTTTGAATTATTTGAATCATTTGTCTATTTAATTTAAAATATTGTTTAAGAGTTATTTTATATTGACATAGATATGATGATAAATAAAATTACAAAAATTATAATCAGCAACTTATTAATATAATCATTTCTTATTTATAAATCTAACTTGATGATAAATTTTCGCAAAAAACATTGACATATTATTGACCAGCTCTGTTATGCTCTTTTTACGTACAATTTCCAGAGATATATAAAAAAATTTATTCAATAAATTCGAATAAATTTATTTGTATATAATTTAACATAATTATCAACACAATAAACAGTATTACAATATCGCATAATTTAATAACATACATACACTAGTAATAATACTCATTGCTGATCAATAATGTGTTAAATCTTAATATATGATTATGAATATAAATATACAAATTTTTTTCATTACTTAATTTTATCTTATATAAATCTATTTAGATTTATTCCCTTAACAATATTAATGATTATACATATTATAGAAATATAGAATGAATGATTTCTGAAAATTAAAGAAGATGTTCCGCATTCTACAGAGAGAACGAATTCATTTAATTATTTTATAAAGAGAAAACAAAAAATTGTTTTTAATACATTTGCCATTATTCGAAAAATGCAAATACGTTTTCGTTTTATCTGTATAATAAATTATTCCACATGTAATAATCGCTATATAATTTTAATATTTGATAAATATAAAATATAATAGCAATGAATAATTGATAAACATAAAATATTCAGCAACATAAAACTACAAGAAGCTTATTATGATAAAAATATTTTAAATATTTTTTTTCGTGGAATGCTCATATTTGTTGTAAAAAAGTTATTTTTTTGGAACAAATATGACGTTTTTAATAAAGAATTTAATAAATTAAAATTTAAATTTCAGACATAACTAATTAAAATTTTAATTATTGTATGTCACAATATTTTCATAACCTGTTTTTGATTTCAAAATAATCGAAAGCATAACGAAATCTCGCATAATATTAACATATATATTTCTAAAAGATTTCTATTTTATTGTCTAT